ACGGGTCCTGTGAACAAAGGACGGTTTATTTTTCATTCCGTGGATTTGTTCTTATCTGCTTCATTCATATTTTTCTCAGTTTAATGGAAGTGTAATTTACATACAATAGAATTCAACAATTTTAAGAATTCAGTGAGTTTTGTCAAACATAAATAGTCACACCTCCACATACAGGATATAGCACATGTGTTGGCAGACTACAGCCCGTGGGCCAAATCCGGCTCCCACCCTGTTTTTGTTTTGTACCTTTTTAGAGTTGTAGAAAAATAAATAAGTTGAAGAATATGCGACAGAGACCGTATGCAACCCACAGCGCCTAAAATCTTTACCATCTGGCCTTTAGGGGGATGGTTTGCTGATACAGAATGTTTCCATCACTCCTTGGTGTTCCCTGCGGCCCCTCTGCAGGATTCCCCTCCCCCTCCCCCCTGGCAACCACTGACCTGCTTTCTATCACTGTAGTTTTACCTTTTCTAGAATTTCATATAAATGAAATCACACAGTATGTTGCCTTTTGTGTCTGGCTTCTTTCACTTATAATGCTTTTGAGATTCATCCTCTGGGGCTTTGCGTGTGTCAGTAGTGGGGTCCTTTTTTTATTTCTGAGTGGTGTGATAGCCCATTAAAGACAGGGTCTAATTTAAGACAGCCCTCAACATGTTTTAACCACCCGCAGGCTCCACGTAGAAGAAAGAGGAGGTGCAGGGGGCGGTGGCCGTGGCCGGGCAGCCCGGCGCACCCGCTCTCATGGCCCTTGTCTTTGCAGGCATGAACAACCGGGAGGTGCTGGAGCAAGTGGAGCGCGGCTACAGGATGCCGTGTCCGCAGGACTGCCCCATCTCCCTCCATGAGCTCATGATCCACTGCTGGAAAAAGGACCCCGAAGAGCGGCCCACTTTCGAGTACTTGCAGGGCTTCCTGGAAGACTACTTCACCGCCACAGAGCCCCAGTATCAGCCTGGTGAAAACCTGTAAGACCTGGGTCTGCAGAGAGAGGCCTGGTCCAAGAGGCTTCCCCGCCCCCTCCCCATTAGCTTTCAATTCCGTAGCCAGCTGCTCCGAGCAGAGCAGTGAGAACTGTCCAGGATCAGATTGCATGTGACTCTGAAGCTGACGAACTTCCATGGCCCTCATTAATGACACTTGTCCCCAAATCCGAACCTCCTCTGTGAAGCATACGAGACAGAACCTTGTTATTTCTCAGACTTTGGAAAATGCGTTGTATCGATGTTATGTAACAGGCCAAACCTCTGTTCAGTGTAAATAGTTATTCCAGTGCCAACGATCCTAGTGCTTTCCTTTTTTTAAAATGCGAATCCTATGTGATTTTAACTCTGTCTTCACCTGATTCAACTAAAAAAAAAGTATTATTTTCCAAAAGTGGCCTCTTTGTCTAAAACAATAAAATTTTTTTTCATGTTTTAACAAAAACCAACTGGGACAGGTGTTTGTTTTTTTTTCTTTTTTCTAAATATGAATATATATAATATATACATCCCTGTACATACACCATGTGGGTGCTAACGTGGAGACCGTGGCCGACGTGGGCCACAGAGCTTCGGGACTCAGAGTGAGGATTTGACTGGAAAATCAACATAAAAGCACCGGTGTTATTCTGAAAACCAGTGGCCTCGTTCTTTGGCTTTTGCAAAACATGATTTGATTTTTTTTTTTTTTAATTTGGATTGCACTTTTTTGGTTCATGACTGTGCCTGTAGATGGCTGTTACTTTGACTCTTTTCAGCAGCACCCCGCCCCCCAGCTGAAGTCACAAGTTCTGTTTCCAGTATTTGCTTCGACTTACTACGATCTTGAAACTTAAAAGTGAGCCTCTTTAAAGCAAGCAAGTGGCCAATACTACCAGGGGAACTAGAAGATGGATACCACACAAACTTCTTGTATAAAACATGAATGCTGAAATGTTTCCAACTTTTTTAATTTAATAAACCTTGTAACGACATTTAAATGGTCTAAAACCCATAGCACTGTAGTCGTGGCAACCTGCTAAACTTTCTCATTCAACTAACCCTTATGGGAAGGTGAGGGTGGGAGGTCGTACATTTCCCATTGTAAAATAAGTGTTTGAATGTCCTGTACTGCTAATGAAATGACTTTCTCTATGTCCAAGGGTCCTCCAGTGAAATAACTATGCACTACTTTACATCTCATGGGGAAGCACAAAAAAAAGTATTACATTCTTAGTTGCTGTTTGTACCAACTTTGAATTACATATGTTTAACAAGTCAAAAACCCTATTTCTATTGAGTTTTTAATACTGAGTGGCAACTCTGAAGTCTTAATTCCTTTTTTGTTATGATTTCTTTGTGAGTTTACATTTTTAAATTGTTTAACTTTCTTAGTAATTAAAAAGACAGCATTTTACATTTGAATTTTTTTTTGTTCATTTGTTTAAATCATGGAAGGTACTTTAGGAGTGACATATCTGTCCCATACCAAGTGGTAAGGAGTCACCTGGAGAATTTAACCATTGTGCAATGATTTCCAAATGGCAGAAACATTCACAACACCTGGAGTGGGGTTCCCCCCGCCCCAAGAAAGGCTGGGCTATTGTCTAGTTAATTCAGAGGATTGTTAAAGGAAGACTAGGCATACCTTAACATTTTAATTTATCAGGCATTTTTGCTAACTAAAATTTTCTGTGTCCCACTTGTAGGAGAAAGAGACAATTGCAAGAAGAATCTTTCTTGTCCTGGAGTCAATACATATGTTTCCCAGTGTTCCTCCACCCCTGTAATGAAGTCGCTCAGCAGGGGAACAGCCTGGTGTTGCAGAAGGGGCAGTAGGTGGACTGGGCCAACAGGCGGGGCCTGGCTCCGCACTCATTCAGCTGCACGCATTCAACAGCCACCTGGAATCTCGCCCTTTCAGGTCCTGTCTGTAGAAATGAGGGGGTTGGATGAGATTTGCTGTAGGCTCCTACATCTGAGATCCTGGGATTCTAAGATCACTGATGACGTGTAGAATTACACAAAGAGGACAGTTTTCTTGCTGAAATAGCCTTTATATTTAGAAAGTTTCTGACATTTTTTAAGTGAAACAGGGATTTTCTGGCTAACCAAGTTTTCGTGGTGTTGGTTTTGGTATTAATACAATTGCTAAATTGATAAAATTTCAAAGATCTTGTTACATACGATTATCACAATATTGGGCAATTTATTAACACATTCTAGATATTTTTAAAGATAATACTTTGTTTTTCATCTTCACTTCCCAGTAGGTCGGATAATTTTCAAGTACTCTCTGGGGGATTTTTGTGTTTGTTTTTGACTTGGTCATTCAAAAAGATCTGAAAAAGTCATAACAGCCTGTTTTAAACAGATTTTTAAAGGAAAGCAGTCTCTTCAAAGTATAGCCTTCAATTCATCAATTGAGTTAACTGTGGATTCTCTCACATGAAGCAAAACTCAAGACTTGGGTTAACTTGAGGACACACTTATGAAATACAGCTCGCTGGAACCATTCTGAAACAGAGTAGGGTTGCAGACTAAAGGGAAAAGAGTAGCTATAAATATGAAGAAATCAGAGACATTTCAGGTTTTTTCTTCCAAGAAACTTATGTGATGCCAAGAGACCTTGCCGAGGCAGACCAGTCCAGACAAATGAAACACCACCTCCAGGGAGTCCCAACACCTCCCAAGAAGCCTCCCTCCCTCGAAAGTTTTAGAAGTTTGGGGTTTGGAAACTAAATGCACTAACCAAAAAGTTCTCTTGTATCTTGAAAGGTGCCTTAGCGGCAAGTGATGGTGAAATATTTGTTTGTCTTTCGTAACCTGGCAGTGAGTAAGGACCGGCTCTGTTCCCTGAGGAGAGCTGGCACCTGGCATTGCTCTGCTTCATACGGAGGCTTCCTAATAATCTAGTTCTTTCTACTTTCTTTTTTTTTTTAATTGGGGTATAGGTGTTTTACAGTGTTGTGTTAGTTTCTGCCGTACAGCGAAGTGAGGGAGAGTCCCCTGTGCTATACAGCAGGTTCTGATTAGTTATCTATTTTATACATATTGGTGTATATATGTCAATCCCAATCTCCCAATTCATCTTTTTACTTTCTTAAAATCAAATAATAAGCCTACTGGAGAAGACAACTTGCCAAAGCTCAGATGTTGTAAATGAAACAAAATGATTTCTGTTCACCCGTGCTCACTCCTCACACTGTCCTCCGAGTCCACTTTGTTCACAGCATACTGAGGGCCGGGAGGACCAGAGAGAGGACCAGTAGATGCAGGGCCTCCCCCGTGTTAGGGCATCAAGTTGTAGACTGAAGCCAATGATGTATTCCGCTCTACCTCGTGCATGGCGAACAAAGGTGTGTAAGGAACCAGACATTTCCACAAGATAAGTTAAATGTATTCATAGTCCTTCAAATACAGCCACACAACTGAAGATTCCCTGACAAGCGCCAGAGGGTGTTTACCTGCCTCGAGAAAGACAGGAATCCTCCTGTGGTTAACTCTTGGCACCAGAGGACTTTTCTAGTTGTATTGGAGCTGCAAAATTTTTATCTGAAATTTCCTATGGGACTTTAAGAATGTATACTGTATTAATTGGAATAGTTCTTTCATGAGTCCTGAAGAAGGTAAGGTTTTCAGCAGAATGCAGAGGAGGATGGCACTGAAGCCCGCTGCATGAGGCATGTCATCTGCTCCTTTGTCATGGCTCCGGACAAGAGAACCTCACTTGACATAATAGGCATTTCCTAACAAGTTGCACTGGGATAAAATGGCGTTTGGTCGATTCATTGCCGAAAGGTATTTTAATAGGTTTAGATAAGTTTTGTTGGCTTTCTTACCACTATATATTAAACTGTTGGAATTCAATTAGGCCCTCCAAAAAATTTTCTGGGAGGGAGGGAGGGAGGGAGAGAATAAGGGGGAAGGAGGTAAGGAAGGGAGTGAGGGAGGAAATAATTCCGGAAGGGCAAAAGGGAGAGCGAGAAGAAAGGAAGCTCAAACAAATTCTTATCCTAAAAATGATATTGTGGGGTACAGATTTACTAAGGCGGGTACTAATAGTATATATATTTTATTTCTCAAATATGGATTGTAACCACAGAGAAGAATGAAATTAGTATTTCATGAAATACTGATTACTTTTCAACAGGATGAAAATTAGTATCTCTAATATCTTTGCAATATCAAATGAAATTTCATAATTTATGTATACCTACATTCTCAGAAATTTTTCCTAAATCATACCTCATTCTTTCCAAACATGCAAAATATTCAGAATTCCATTGGGGGGATGGAGATATACCTTATTTTTTAAATTACTTCTGATGACTGGAAAGAAAAATAAGTGGTTTTCCAGTATGACAGGGACTATTCTAAGGAGAATGTGATCAGTGACAAATGACTGCTCCCCCCAGCAGCCAGGACCCTATGCTCCTTTCCAGAATACTTACTGCTCTTCTAATAATGTGTTTAATAATATGACTCTTCTCTTAATGCATTTTCCCCACCAGATTGTGAGCTCCTTGAGAACAGAAACTGCCTTATTGTTCACCAGTCTTCTGCGCCAAGGGCAGTGATGAGCTGATGGTCGATGTTGGATGAGTGGGTGGATGGCTAGATGGGTGATGCCGTCCTGTGGAGTGAAAGGTAGACCTGAGAATAACACACCTGAGGGCCTGCTGAGCATCCCGGGATTTGCTGTGAGCTGCCCAAGGCACTAGCACTGCCATTGTGAATGTGGGCTCACCAGTGTCCATACATGATTTGAAGCCCCAGTCTGTGGTCTGAAATGAACACCGTTAGTGCTTCCCGAACCTTGCCCCAGAACTCGTCCCAACATCAATGGGAATAAACCTGTAGCCCCTGGGACCTGGGGCCTTCAGAGTCTCATTCTAACTTAGTCATTTTATGAAAAATTGGTATTTTTCCTAAGATATCCATTTTTCATCTTCATATAAAATACTTTTCCCATCCTTCAGGTTGTGCCTTGTTAACCAGCCTGTGGCTTGTAGTATCCCTGGCAAACCTCTGCATGACCCAGGGAGTGCATGTGCCCCGCTTGAGAACCATACCGCATGAAGATGTTGTCCGTAAAATAGTACTGCCAACATGAAAATATTGTAGTCGGGAGAGGTAACATTAACCGCCATCAATATGGAGTCTCTTTATTTGATTCCCTTTTTCACCCAGCAAAAACTAGCCCCCTGACTGAGACTGGGACAGAAGATGGGAGGGTTTGATAATGGGAAGAGGAAAACCGTCCAGAGCTGCCTGGAAGTGAAGGTTTGGTCAGGTCAGCCTGCTGGTACAAGACGGCAGCAAATGGGAGTAGACGGGGTGGAGATGTTGGTCAAGGAGGAAGAAACCAGAACTGGGATGAAAGAAGCCCTTTGCCAGGGCTCTTCAAGGCAATGGGATGACCAGAGAGGTGACTTTGGGTATGTGCAAGGACTCCACCATTCATTTCTTCTGCAAACGTTTGTTGAGTACTTATTATGGGTTAGACCCTGTGCTTAGCACTAGAAAGCCAAAGAGACAATTAGTATCCCCAGTCCAGTGAGGATGGAGACCCATAAGAGATAGTTGCAATAAGCTCTCCGTTGGGAGGAAAGACGGGTGGCAGCAAAGGAGTGCCAGATGGCCCGGAATGGGGAGTGCATGGGAGACTTCCTAGAGGAGGTGTTCCTAAAGGACAAGCAAGGTGGATTATGTAATGCTTAATGGTAAGCTCAGTGTTTTTTGCCTTTGGATGTGTTTCCTTCTGATCCCCAACCCCATTAGGGTCCAGCTCATGCTTTAAATATAGAAGGTGCTCAGCAAATGCATCTAAATGAAGAGAAACCAAAACGAAGCAAAGAAAAATCTAAATCTCTTCTTCTCCCTCCTCCCCACAAACGCAGACATTAAAAGGTACGTAGGTGCATCATTTGTTCTGATTAGTGCACTGCTACCTGGAGGGATGGGAGATAATACCATAAAAGGACAGAGAGTAAGGTTTCAGGCAGGGTTTGGGGATGTGGTTTGGACTATATAGAGTACGAGAATAAGAGAATTGCCTGGAAAGGGGCTTATAATAACGCCTCACTTCCTCTCTTAATAACAGTTAGTAGGGGGTTTTCTCCCATTGATGACCCCATTTCATTCTTTCCCATTTATGAGGCTAGTTTGCTTGAATCATCCAGCAATATGTAAACTCATGAAAGAAGGTATATACTAGCTGTTGCAAGGTATTCTGTTTGTTTTGTTTTGGAATTCTTTTCCCTTTGGTTAATTTTCAAGTGCTTGCTATGTAATAATCAATGAGCAGCTAATTGGCAGTAAGAGAATGAAATGGGTATTATTCAGATAGTGTTTTTAACAGAAGACGTACGTGTAACACTGTGGGGAAATATTAGTAAATAGCAAGAGATTTTAGTGTGTGTGTGTGTGTGTGTGTGTGTGTGTGTGTGTACAAAAGGATTCATTTAAAGCCCCTCAGAAACTAAATGCAGGTGTGTGAATCCTTTCATTTTCAGACTCCTCCCAAGGGGTGAGCGGAGCCCCTAGAGATTGCCCTGGAGCACAAACCACCCTAAATGGAGCCTGAAGGTCTGTCAGTTCCCAGAGAGCAATGAGGAAATGGTAAGCAAATGGCAGCAGTTGCATAGAGAGTTAGGGAATGAATAACAGTGCTTTCTGGTAAATTAACCATATTACATTGTGCACAGCAAAGTGATGGAAAAACCCTGTTAAAAATTGAATAATAATTTGCCCACATCATTTACGTAAAATGCATAATTTTCCTACTTCAGTGGACTTTAGTTTGATTTAAAATATGCACAACTCCAGTCCTGTTCACCAAAGCATAATTTGTGAGATAATTGGGAAGGGAAAGAGGAATCAGACCGTAATCAGCCCAATTCTGTGTGAACCACTTCACCTCCTCCCTCACCTGTGCCTTTTGGAAAATATTTGTTTATACGTTCCTGAAGGTCTCTAAGTGAAAGTGCAAGGCATTCATCATTGTCCCTGCTATCACTAAACCATGACTTCACCACGTTTGAGAGGGGGAAAGCAATGCTTCGTTCTATTCAGTATTTTTCTGCTTTCATTCAAATAAGTACTAGTTTTTGAATTCTAGGGAAAATGGAAATGTAGCAAAGCTGTACTTAAAACAGCGAGCCAAGAACAAAAGCAACAGTGCACAGCCAAAGGAGACCTTGGAAGATGCATAGGTAAAACAAAAAGCTGTGCTTGGCTGGGACTCTCTTTCAGAATCAAATGCAAAATGGAGAACATTGTTTCAACTGCAAAGATTTTGCAGTCTATAATATCTGAACTAGAAAGGCATCATGTAATCCACCTTGACATTCAGAAGCTGTGCTATTGCTATGAGTTATGATACTGGTTCCTGACTAATAGAGGTTTCCAGAACCAGAGTGGTCAGAGGTGGTGTGGAATTCCGGCAGTGGACTGGGTACCCTCCACTTAAACAGTGCGTTCCCATGGCAATCACTGTCCTTTTTCCTTCCCCTCCCTCTGCTCCCCACCCCCACCAGAACCATAGAAATTTTATTCAGATATTCACTCATTCTCTTCATCCCCATTTCTCCACAGAGGGTCATATTTACTTATTCCAGTGAGCCCTTAAATCTCAACTTTTCAGGGCAAGTGTGCAGCTGATTCTCTCTGCTTCTCCTGAGTACTCTTCTTTTGTTGGCCAAATCCTGCCTCCTCTAAAACCCTGCTGGCCCCAAGAAGCTGAATCTTGAACCCCACAAATCTCAGCACTTCTTTCTCTTGGGTGCCTGTTTTGGATGAGCAAAGGGCCCCCCCCCCGCAATCCTACTACTCCTCCCCACTTCTTCCTTTTCTCCTACTAACCCCTGCCACTGGCCAAAGATTTATTAGACACTAGTTTTGTCCCTATGCCTCTTGCCACTAACTATAAATTGCCTTTCTGCAAATTAGAAAAAGCTACTCTACCTCAAGACACTTTGCTGCCACCTGCCAGAAAACTATTGTAATAAATATGCCAAGAGATCATGACTAGAATGCAAATGGTGCCCCCTAGAATTGTGCAGTATACAACTGGCACAACTGTATGTGACAACCCTGTACTTGGAAATCACCTGAGTTATCCAGGAAGCTGGTTGTAAAAGTAAGAACACAGCAGATCAGTCTTGCCTTTTTATGACAGTTGGCAATTTCAAAATCTAAATCTTTTCGACCATGATCAAAAATTGCTGAGAGGCAATTTCTGGAAGAGACAAAGAGCCCCCAGGGAGCAGTTCTTACAAGAATAAAGGGCTCTTGATTCAGCCCAAGATTTGGCCTGCTGGCTGGGCAGATATAGCCCAAACCACATTGGGTTGATTTTCAGGAAGCATCAGTTAGAAAGCTGGTAAGTCTCAATGCTGTGGGTGCAGGAGGAAAGTGAACTTGGCTTATGTTTAGGTCAACCATTCCCCCTCCCTGGCGTCGGCTGCTTCGGTTCTTGTTGATCGCCCCATCTGTTCCCCTCCCTCCTTCACATTCAGCACAACCTGCACGTTCTGATGATCTTTTGCCGCAAAACAAACTACCCCAAAACTTAGCGGCAGAAATAGAAATAGTCATTTATTTTGCTCATGAGTCTGCGACTTGGACAACACTCATCAGGGACATCTCTGCTCCATGCGGCCTCAGCGGGGGCAGCCCCTTGAGACTGAAAGACCCACCTTCCCAACGGTTTACGCGCGTCCACACGGCTGATGAGTTGATGCTGGCTGCTGCCCAGGAGCCCGGCTGGGGCTCTTGCCGAGGGCTTTGGGTCCTCTCCGTTTGCGCTCCCAGGTGGCTCTGAGGGCTTGTTGACACCGTGGAGCCCATGCTAAACCACCAGTTGACGCCTCATGGAGCAGAGACAAGTTGCCCCCGCCAAGCCCTGCCCAAATTTCAAATTTCTGAGAAAAATAAATGACTGGTTTTAAGCCACTGAAGTCTGGGATGGATTGTTCTGCAGCAGTAGATCACCAGAATGTACAGGTGGGGCTGAACGTGGTGCGAATCCATTCCCACATCTTTCTGTGATGCCTCCTGGTGCTGTGGAATCAAGGAAGCAAAGAAAACTACATTTCCCAGACTCCCTTACCATGAGGATTATGAGTGTCCATCAGGCCATACCAGTGAGACATATTAACGCAGAGGTGGGAAGGCAGAGTGAAGCAGAAGCCAATTTCCTGCAGATCTTGTCTGTTTTCTCCTGGAAAGCAAGGTCATGGGGCCACTGAGGGCCAATCTCCAGCTTCATAGGTGTCAAGAGTCAGCTGAGGAGGTGGCAGTGGCTAAGCTCGACATCCCAACATGCAGGCAGATGTTCCCAGCTTTCTGACCACATTCTGACCATTGTACTGCAGCTACAATGTTCATGAGGTCAACAGTGCCAGTGGCAGCCTCCTGAGTCCCACCTCCCTGAATGTGGGAAAGGTGGCTGCCCTCCTGGCAGGTCAGTTCTGCCACATTCTGGGAGTCATTCCCGGAAATCCAGCATAGAGCCCTCTCTTCCAGCCCTTCCAGCGAGTTTGTAATTCCACCTTTTTGCCTAAAATCCCTAGCGTGGTTACTATTTCCTGCATTGAACCCTGCAACTGACACCCAGGTGATCCTTAACATGCTGCCCCTTCTCAGCCACTTTTGTTCCTGCTTGCTTGCTTTCCCTCATTTAATCATTCCTTTGGCAAATATTTATGGCAGATTTACCACGTGCCAGGCATTGTGCTAGACCTGGAGGACAATCGATGAACTAAACAGACATGGCTCCACCCTCGTGGAAGGAGCCAAGGCAAAAGACCAGGAGACAGCAAACTACTACCCTCAGGCAAAATCAGCCCCCTGCTCATTTTGTTTTCTTGGAACACAGCCACGCCCATTCACTTCTGTCTTGGCTACAGCTGATGTTTCCCTACAGTGGCAAATTTCAGCAGTTGCAAAAGAGACTGTATAACCCAAGAGCTGAAAATATTTACTACCTGGTTTTTCACAGAAAATGTTTGCCAGCTCCTGCATTAGATAAATAAAACTCCAAGTCAGAATCCTGTTGTCCCCACATCCAATCAGTCGCTCTGTCCATTCTGCGGACACATGTGCCAAGCTCCAATCTCAGCTCTGAGCACTCCATGAGAACCGTCTTATTTAGTTCTCACAACAACCTTTGGAACATACTGTTATAATCTCTGCTTTACAGAGAAGGAAACTGAGATTTAGAGAGATTGGGGCTAGATGACTGAGTAAATGGTGAGAGCATTAACGGAGATGAAAGTCCCAGGAGGAGGAACTGAGAGTAGGCGGGAGCTGGTGGACTCGGTATGGACTCAGGCACGTGAGGTGCCTGCAGGCATCCATGAGAGGCTGTCCTCGCTGATTTCCTGCTTGGTGTGGTGGGAAGGCATGATTTCAAGTCTTGCCCAGTTTTAGGTTCAAATCACAATTCTTCCATTACTAACTGTATGACTTTGGGCCAGCTACTTCTTCACATCTCCAAGCCTCTTCGCTTCTGTCTCCTCACGAGTGAAATGGACTCTTGTCAAAATGAAATAAGGGAATATGCACACAGCATCTAGCGTAGTGCTTGGTACGTGGAAGGCGTTTGATCTGTGTGGGCACCTCCCCTTCATCTTCAGTCTATCCTTCACGTGGTGGAGAGTAACCTAAAATCTCAGCTGTGATTGTGTTGTTCTCCTATTTTAAAAATATAATGGCTGGGCTTCCCTGGTGGCGCAGTGGTTGAGAGTCCGCCTGCCGATGCAGGGGATGCGGGTTTGTGCCCTGGTCCAGGAGGATACCGCATGCTGCGGAGCGGCTGGGCCCGTGAGCCATGGCCGCTGAGCCTACGCGTCTGGAGCCTGTGCTCTGCAACGGGAGAGGCCACAACAGTGAGAGGCCCGCGTACTGCAAAAAATATATATATATAATGGTTCCCACTGACCCCCACTGGTGGAAGGGGACACGTTTGGAGGGGCTGCCCAGTCCACACCCCTTTCTTTAAACTCCCTACCCCACAGCACTACACTCTCTACTGAAGGTCAGGTTTTTACCATATGACCCTCCCCGACACCAGAACATCTGATGATACCAGGTCAGATGCCTGACGGGGAAACCAGTCCACTGACTGGCCGCTAGCTAATGAAGTTGTCTCCTTTAAGTTGGGACCAAGAATTAAGAGGCTGTGGTGACAGATGCTTGGCCTACAGGTTAAGTTGAGTCAGGACCAGAGATGGCCCCATGGGGGAGCAGAGGATGCAGTCTGCAGAGAGAATCAGTGGCTGGAGACCATGGGCCACCAGAGAAAGAGTGCTGGGGAACAGCTGCTGTCCAGCACCTGTATCTGCAGGTCCAACTCTGCTTCCTGAGCACCATTTCTATGAGATTCCTCAAACCCCTGCAGACACCGTTTTGTCACTGGAGCTAATTCCAGGGAGTTTAGGCCCCTGCAGTCCAGCTCCACTGTTTGCCAGCCTCATCTCTCCTGTCCCCTCTACCTACCATCACCCCCGCCCTGGATCCTGGCTGCTGAACTGCCCACAACTTCGCAAGCATGCTCTGCACTGCTCCAGTGTTTTCCCCCTTGCCTGGAATGTTCTTTTGCCGTCTCTTCTCTCTTTTTTTTTTTTTGTTTTGTTTTTGATTTTTTTTTTTGGCGGTACGCGGGCCTCTCACTGTTGTGGCCTCTCCCATTGCGGAGCACAGGCTCCGGACGCGCAGGCTCAGCGGCCATGGCTCACGGGTCCAGCCGCTCCGCAGCTTGTGGGATCTTCCCGGACCGGGG